CTCTTATTCATTATAACGTTATTAGTTAGCATGAACTTTGAAGATGAAGATTCAAAGAACCTTCAAGCATATTTGGCTAGAGATTTATAATGGTGTATGTTAACGGACTGCAAACAATAAAGCAATAGCATTTGTTTTTACTTTTACTGCAAATGGGAGCTAAATATAGCATTGGGAGGGGCGTTTATACTTTTTTGCGCTTGGATGGCTGAAACTATTAGGATATAACGAAAAGAGATAATGGTATATATATACATATATATCCAAGTGTTGCTCTAAATAAATATCAAAGTGATGCGTCACCAACTGACGTCAACTGCATGTAAATCAATATTTTAAGCTGTATCATCTTACAACAGAGTGTACAGCACGTGAAGCTAATGTAAGGACTACAGACGTCATTACAGCTTAAATTTTAAATGACTTAGGTCGGTAAAACGATACGTTTCTCAGGTTTTATAACATCAAGGGATTTTATCTTTCCCAGAGGTATATTGTATGTGATTCAGTAGCTATAATAAAATATACCATTCTCAAAGGGGATATTGAGGCTGCTTGTATTACAGGATAAATATATAGATTTGAATTTGATGTGAGTTTTTTTCATTATCAAAGAGCTTTTCCTTAAAATTTTGCTCATAAAATGTCGATCAGCTCAAAAACGATCTGATTCCAACGATGAGGAAATAAATACTAAAATCAATGTTGACAGAAACCTGCATTTTGTCAAACAAACTTCATAATAAATTTGGTGTAACAGTCTAAATTATATAGAGATGCAAGAAGAAACTACACTAGACGTTTGGGCTCAGAACTATGTTATATAGAGACCATTCTCCGTCAAAGGAAAACAGGAAAGTAAAGATTATAGAAAGCATTTTAAAACTACATTACTGCTACATTGGATGCTAAAAACTCCTGTTTTGGTTCTATATAAAGATCTAAAGGACCTTATACTCGTTAAATCTTTGTTATATTGTTACTTTTTGAAAATGTCCACCGAACCTGTTTTTCCACATCAACCATCAATGTTGGGGGAGAGAGGGGGAGACAAGAAATGTGAACTATATAATATTTACACCAAGAATAAAGATCTTTATCAATCGAGAAGATAAATCCAATTATTCGTTCAAAATCGAAACGAAAAGTACTTCAGCTCGAGTTTTAAGCAAAACTATGTAGATCAGTAATGCTTGGAGACGGCTTGAGTGGGTAATGAAGAAAAACTTTAATATAAGTTTAACATAACAGCAAATGTCGAAACTTTGTACATTTACTGTTATGTTGAACTTATATTAAAGTTTTTCTTCATTACCCATTCAAGCCGTCTCCAAGAATCATTAGTCTCAAAGTGGGTTCCTCGCCATCGAATATATAGATCAGTGTTTCCCAACCGCCCCTAGTGGGCATTTTTAAAATTCGGGCGAGGGGGGGGGCAGTAAACGTTTCAAAGTTATATTTGTTAAAATTAAACCATAAGAAGTAGGGTTTTTTTCTTTCAATACGTTTGAGCAAAAATCATTGTGTGGTGTGTTTGTGGTAAGCAAGGCCCACCCCAGTGCTTCTCGTCCATTCATTGAGTATATCTTTTCTGTTGCCACTTTCGGTACTTGAATTGAAAATTTATTATAAGGGGGCATGAGCGCTCATTGTTTGCTGAAGGTTGGAAAACACTGATGTAGATTATTCAAGAAATTTCTAGTAAATTATAGAAATAATCGTTGTAGTTAAATAGTGAATGCATAATCTCTAAAGATACGGTTAAGTCTATTCCATCAGTGGCTATTTATTAGCCAAATAAGAATAACATTCTATGGGAAACATATCTAATCATCGATCGTTAAATGATTAATAACAGAAAAGTAATGTTAGATATGCTTTAGAGAATTCTTTTTCACGAGTCTTCATCGTCTAAGGTCCTTAAGCATTTCAATAGAATAGTACGTGCTGGAAATGGTGAATGGGCTAGTTATTTACGTGCATTTTTGGTAATTTATTGTTAGTTGGGTTTCCTGGTAGGGCAATGTATGACATGGAGGATGCTTAGAGATGATGAACTCGCCAGCATTTATAATTTTGCAACTAATTAACAGGTCCGTGGTCTCTGTACATACATTAATTATCTACACCCAGGTTTGGATTTATCGTGACAGCGTATCTAGGGTGCCTGGTAACATATCTGTAGAAGTATTAAGGCTGGTCGCAATGTATAAAATAGATTATGATCATAAATTAATAAAGTTTTTTATGTACACGTATTTTCACTGTTATATCATACCGCACAACAACAAGTCGCACACCTTAGCAAATACGAGGCTAAAAGGATTATCTTAGCACACAAACTATTCGATAGTTCACTTATAGTTTTTTTCTTCTGAAACCACAGATAAAAATCCCCGAAACATTTTAAATCATCCTCATGTTAATATTTTGCCTAATTAAAGGAAAATATTAGGAAACCTCAAAATAATTGCGAGGAGTGATCTTATTGTGCATTGTAATATCAGCTTGGGAAGTATTGGTGATATCAGAGAGGTAGTGAGATAAAATATGGAAATAACATATGCATATATGAATGTAGTATCATATGTTATATATGGTATTTATACTTCGAATGCCTATGAATCTTCAAGTAGATGTTAATTAGGACTAAAAATACTTAACTCCAAAACCGTAATTTGAACTGGTTAAAAATTACATTGGGACGGTTACTTTTAGCCTGTTTCCTAGTCTTGTGTAGATGAAGGAACTACTACAACTGTTACAGAGTTCATAAAAGAACTGTATAGGGGGCTTATTATAATATATAATTAAGGTGTGAATATTAATGAATGGTAATGCTTGCACGAGTTTCGTAAAGATCTATTTTAAGTTGTGGTATAATAAACTGGTGGTTAGGGCACTCGACTTGCAATCTGCGGATCGTAGGTTCGAATCCCGTTACCGAACATGTTCGCCCTTTCAGCCGTTTGGGCTTTATAATGGGTTATCTGGTTTCCCTCTAGTCTATCACTTCAAAATTAGGGACATCTATCGCAGATAGCCCTCCAGTAACTTTGGGCGAAATTCAACAAATAAAAAAATCATTAGAAATAGGTGTTGTTAATCCCTAATTAATCTGTTTGAACTAAATTTTGCTTCATATTTTCAGTTTAATTTACACTAAGATTTTTTTCTGTTTGATATGTAGATAGATTTACAAAAATTGTAAAATAGGTGAAAGTATATTGTAAAAGCTCAATTTCCCTGGAATGCTAATTTCCTTCTCGTTACTTTGAAACTTTTTTTAACACGTATTAATGAATAGTTTGTAATAATATGATTTAATTCCATATTCAGCATTCAAAGATTTATTATCCAAATACACATTTCATCTACAGAACGCTGCTGTTACTAACATAAATGAACTACATACAAGAAAGGTTGTGCTTAAAAAAAAGAAGTCACTCTTTCATAGTCTCTTAAAAGTATAGTTAACGATGCAATGTATTGACAGAAGTAATTTTACAAACAGTGAACAGCATAAAAACAACTCGGTGATTTGATGGTAAGAAACTAATTTACAGATGCAGAGTTACATATGCAAATAGTTTACTGTAATGGGTTTAGCAAATATAACAAAGCAGAGGCTTATTTCTAGGGAACTTACAATAACTTTTTATATACTTATTTGTTGTTGTTGTCTACGCTATACACAGATGATAATTTTAATCTTTTTAAGGAAAAATGTCAAGTAATTTTCTAGAGTCGTTTTCTTGGGAAAACAAGCCTTTTTAGCTTAAAGTTCTTGATTCTTGACCTTTTCAGTTCTATCTAATCTATATATATATATATTGTTACTACTGCATAGGTCTTGACTAAACGCTTCGCTATACTACCTTCCTGCTTCTATTCACCACGTTTCATAGCTCTTGCTTATAGTTTTATGGTGCCAAATCGTTTAGGATTTCTTTCATGTACGAAATCACGTTTCATTTCTCAGTAAAACTGGAGGTTTTCGTTGATTATAACTTTGATGAAATGGGGAATCAAGAAGCCAAAAGTAAATCCAACTATTCTGTATTTTGAATTGAGAGTGAAAATTTCCACGAAAAGTTTATATGTCATTCCTATAGTAAAGATATGAGTTTTACGTGACTGTGCGTAATTTTGATGACAGAACCTTTCATTATCAATTTCTACGAATCATATATGAGTTTTATATCACGTTCAAGTACTGACATTACGAGAGAGAAATTGAAATTTAGAATTACAATGAATGGAAATCAACACCTGTATTTTTTTTGTAACTTTCCAATCTTTCCCTTTGTTTATTCGAAATATATTAAGTAATCTAGAGCCTTGATAATAAAGAATTTAATTCTATAACTTTTTCCTTTAGCTCTATACCTATAACTTTTGTGGAACATAGATCATTCTGTAATCTAAGTATTAAATAACATGCAAAACTTTCTTCATCATTTTCTTTTAAATATTCCAATTAAGCGTGTACAAAACTACACATGAGATGTTACCAATTCCTTTATGATTCAAACCCTTTAAGATTTTATACTTGTTAAAGATTATATACGATGAATCCATTAAATCATCACACTTCAGTAAAAGGACTGTTATATATTCTGCATAATATAATCTTAAATTAGGTATACTACACGTACCTGTTCTAAGATAGGTAGTATTCGTATATACATTGTTTTGCAATTTTTTCCACCTGTACTTTTGATCTACGCATGCTCATTTTATGTCTTTGAGAAAGTCTGTAATTTGTCCTGAAGCTCATGTTATTTAATACATGAAAATATGCATTTGATATTGATAAATTATTCTTTATGTGAAGAAGAGTTGGTAATAATATATATCAGTATTTCACATTTATTTTAAAAAATAATAAAATATTCAATAACTGATATCTTAAAAAATAGGTTCGCCTTTAGCTGAGGTACGAATAATTAAATATTTCTGATTTAAGATTCTTATTGTGGTTTGTTTTATTTATTCAGAATTTTTAGGATATTTGGAAAGTGGCATACAGCATACTTCACAGTATCAGCTGTAGACTTGGGAATCCAACTAATTAAAAAAATATACTCGACTATTTGATCTACCAAAAGAACGGCAGAAACCATCAGATAATTTTGATAAGAAGTGACGTCATTTACTCTGATAAGAAAAAGAAAAAAACGTCATCTGATTCTATAACGCCAAGTAATTCGAAAACGAAGAAACAAAAGCTGATTTAAAATGGGTCGAAAAAAGATACGCATTTCAAAGATTACCGACGACCGCAATAGACAGGTAATCACACTAATGCTCAATGTAAGCTTATGCCTTTTTTAAAATAAAGCATAACAATTAATTATCAAATGAATTGGTTCTACTGGACAATATAATATTTGTATAACAATAATTTCTACATAACACAGACTTTCAAATTTGGGTTTTAGTTATTTTTCCATATTGCTGTACAAGAATATGATGACAATATTAAATAACTATAACGGTGTTGTAATATTATTTATTTAATTAAACTAATATCCAAAAGAAACTATAGTTATGATCAATATATATTATTTAATAACAGTGAGAGTAATAAAGATTTAATTCTAAACCTCGTAATTTTTAATTAGACTTACGAGTCGCTCAATATATTTATATCACTTTTAGCATAGTGATAACTTTGACAGAATGTAGTTTTTTAAAACTTAATTGTCATCAAAACCCACTCATAGAATACCCTATTTGTACGTATTCCTTTCAAAACAGTCTTTGAAATCGAAATTTATATTTTTATACATTAGTAATGTTATTTTGGTTTATTTTGCAAAGTTGTAATAATAATACATCCTGTTAAATGACTGTTTACGACTTCAACAATAATTTACTCATCATACTGATTTAGTTATCATTGTTCAGTCTTTATTATGTTTATGAAACCTTTATCGTTTTCAATAACCGTGAAAAGTACGCCTATATATCCATCTGCATACAAACAATGCTTATATGTTTTCTTAATTTGAGCAGGTGACGTTCACTAAACGGAAGTTCGGGCTAATGAAGAAGGCTTACGAGTTGAGTGTCCTTTGTAACTGTGAGATTGCGCTGATTATCTTCAACAATACCAACAAACTGTTCCAGTATGCTAGCACAGATATGGATAAAGTATTGCTGAAATACACTGAATATAGTGAACCGCATGAAAGCAGGACAAATAATGATATTGCAGCGGTAAGTACAGAAAGTAAATGCAAGATTTTAATATTTATTGACATTGTATATATTAATGTTATTTTCTGATTTCGTATACAAAACGTATATTATGAGCTAAATTGGACAATGCGGTTTTATAAGAAAACAGATGTCAATGTGTTCACCTATTCTTTCTCTGAATATGCATAAAATACGTTGAAATGTTATTTTATTCATTTCGTTTGTGGTTTGAAGATTTATTATTGTTAACAAGAATCTTTTACTATAGGCAATCTTCAGAAAAGAACACAAAAACGCAAACAACGAATGCAGTAGCCCTGACATTGATTTTGATGAAACTTCTTTTCCCCTGCTTAAAGATACCAGATATGATCAATTAAAGGAAGATTTAAGTCCAATGATATCCCGAAGTCCAAATGCACAAACAAACAGAGTAGGGAAACTTTGTATGTTTTAATTACATATTGTTTTCTATCTGCATACAATACAATACAATAAGAGTAAAGGCAATAATATTTATTTAAATTATTTCTTGGATTCACGAGTAAACCTAAAAGTATTTTTTTAACATTTAATTTTTTATCTCTGTTACCTAAATGCATATTTTCAATAATGGAGACAATTTATTTTTTGTTCTTTAAATGACAAAAATAATGAACAAATGAAATAAAGTTTCAAAGTGTATATATTATATATAAAGGGGTGTGTGCGTGTGTATAGTTTATATTCATGATGTTAGAAAAACATATAATTTCAAAAAGAGTCGATAGAAATGAATAAAAACCCTATAATCCAGGGTTATAGGGTTTTTATTCATCTCTGTATAGTTTACAGTTACACTTTTTGCAATTATAACTAGTTTTACATTAATGCAAAAACTATTGAGAAAATGATGCAGACTCGGAGACTGGTTTTCGTAATTTAAATTCTAAACTTGATTTGGAGAAATTATAGTATGCATAAATTCATTGTAAATTTAATCATTTATTGTTCAAACATTTCTATTCGCCGCAGCAGACAAATTTGCGTCCAATGGCACAGCTACAGGTGGGTTCAGCTCCTCTCAGCCACCCTGTGCACAACACAAACAACCATTGTCAAATTATGCAGCTGTCACCACAAGTGTCACCCCAAGCAACACATAGTCCCCACTTCAGTCCTGTAGGTGAGTTAGGTGAAGGTGTTTCTTGTTAATTTTCTAAACATATGTGTACGTAAAAATGTAAATAGGATAACATTTATTGTAATTAATTAGATAATTACTATTGAAAATGAAAGAAAAATCGACCGACACTTACTACTTATACAGGTAGTTAGACAAAAATTAAAAATTTTTGTGCTAAACATATTATGACATAAGTAACGATAAGTTAAATATTCTAATATTTTATTACGATTTCCAACTATTTCTAACATATTAAATCAGAGCACTGATTTTCATAGATTTATGCCCTTACTGTCAGTTGAAACAATTTTTTTAGTAATAATGTTATTTATGACACGATTCGGATTAATGCCAAAATATTACCTATTGGTGCTTTGTCAGTAACAGCAGTGAGACAACAGAGCTTTTCAACTAAGTATGATCTGAAGTCTAAACAAATCATATAAATTTAGTGGAAACATTTGTGTTCTACAGAGGATTGAGTACGTTATATTAAGATGGTTTTGAACATGCAAATCAGCAAGTGACTTGACAGTCACAGTCGATATAAAATCGTGGTGGAACGGCATGTATAAAATGCATTTTGACATTGTTCGCAGTTGAAGTGTGATGTCAACAAAATTTTATCACTTTTGAAAGCGGAATAAACATTCATTTCCATTCCAAAAATATGCATATACTCAAATCATAAAGATATGTTCAGATTGAAGATTTAGACCTTCCAAGGTGTGAGTATCTATTGTACTTGATGTTATTAGAAAACAAAGGGATTTGGATCAACTTTGGGTACTAAGACCACCCAGAAAGAGAAAAGCAACAAGTTATATCACCGCAGTGGTAAATAAAGTGTGGCATCTTGTAACAGGTGAAAATCTACGAACATAAACTCTATCTGCAAAAGAGGCCAACGGAGTATTGGTTTTTAGTCATATCTCCCATTTAACCTCAAGTAACTGGAGAACGAAACCGATATTCATACTATTCCATAAAAAAACATACAAGTCAAGCCGCCGGAAGCAGCGCTTATGGATTTCCTTGCAATCACAATGTCGAAAAAGGCACTGGGAACCATTATTTTGGTACACTAGATGGATTGTGGAACGTATGCAGGATGTAGTGATGTACTTATGCCGGAGACATTTGCAATTGAAACTACGCTGCAGGGCTATTGCCAAGCTGCATTGTTGCCAAATATAACAAGACCTGACGAGGCGACATGGGCTGTAACGACATGGAAAAACTTCATAATAATTTTAATATAACGTACTGAACCGCTCTTTACTTAGGTCCATCTCATGTATTTATTAGCTATTTGATAAAATCACACGCTTAAACAATAATTTAACCATAGCCTGTTTTAAAATGTTTTGCATTTTTTATTATTATTATTGTTTTTTTGTCCATACAGATAATATTTTAGAAGATCCTCGGTTAACTCCGCAAGAATATCATCATTCTTCTAATGACATCAATATGGCTATGAGAAACAGTTCACCTAGTGAATTCAGTAGCAAACATCAAGGGTCTTTTTGCAGGCAACAACTCTCTCATACTCAAAATGAAAAACAGTCAAATGGCCAATTTATGATTTCCAATGCAAGTGGACAAGTTGGTAACACAATGGTAAGTCAATGAAATAATATCAACAAAACTTATACCTCTTAACAGCATAATTAGTAGCAGAACTGAAGAAATTATCATCATATACAAATAATTTTAGGTAATGTGTTAACCATCTGGTGCCAAAAATTGAAAATCAAATAAAAATATTTATGATTTGGCACTGAACGTCCATACAGATATGATCAAACACCAACGGAATAGTTTAATCGTTGTAAATGTATATTTGTTACATTTTGTCTTTTTTTATTATCATATTTTGCACTGGCGTTCTTTATCACCTGTAAATATATGTAATTAGGAATATTCTGTAATCAGAATCAATTGCAAGACGAAAATAACATAAATAGCCATTATGTTTTATACAAATGAAACTTTTACATAGAGTGGGTATTCACTCTTCATGGCCCCCTAGTAGGTCAGTGGTAAGTCTGAAAGCTTATAACTAGAAACCGAGTTTTGATACCCATTGTGGGTACAACACAGATAACTTATTGTATAGCTCTATACTTAACAATGAACAAATAAACTATTCCTCTCATGGCGTCCAGTTAAAAAAACAGATATGGTCACTGCTAAAAACTATGTCTATTTTTAAAAGGATAGTCATGGAAAAACAAGTATTCTTGGTTTCTTACCATTAGGGAATTTTCTCTTAAAATCACTGGCGTTTCTGTAATATAATTAACTTTGTCCGAGTAATTATTTTAAATGATAGAACAAAATGTATAGTTTGGTGTGTTTAGAATTTGTAATATCTCCTTATTGGAAATATCTCTACATATTTTACTTTTTACTGACATATGTGTATTGTGTGACAATTAAAAAAAGAGTTCATTATGACTGTATTTTACAATTTATACATTTTAATAGCTTTTCTACCTCACTGAGTATCTGATACGTTGTTTTAAAAATCTTTTTCAGTGCTTTCTACTTATACGCATCTGATGTTTCGCTATTTTTTTATTTTGTGTTTGTAGCCTCAAAACATGATCAATTCACCCATTACTTCCTTACCAATGATGTCACAAATGTGTGGAGTTGGCAATTATCCTTCCAACAGTTCTTCTTCGTTTCATTCAGGTTTGTATTTGTGTTTTAAACAATATTTTACATTTTTGTTATCAGTTGAGTGGCAATGCACAGTTTAAAAATTTAAATGCAGGATATACAGAGTCATTTTACTTTTATTCGGTGTTAACTTCAGAAACATTTAAAACTTTCAATGTACAGACACAACAGTATCAAATAGTGCGTGTATTAAATTTCAGAGTATACTGTCATTTAGGTTTATTTTTAAAGCATACGTTTGAAATGTATTAGCAAGCAGTGTAATAAACAAAAACATTGTGTAATTATTGTCTATTATCTGTGCAGATAATTTCCAGCTTAGTTCCGAGTTGAATCTCCTAGGTTACCATTCACCTAGTCCAGTCAACAGCTGGTCGCTAGGAGATCAGAGACTACTGTCCCCACTCAGTGCCACCAAAAAGTGAGTTAAACACTCGTGGTGAATATAATATAATCTTTGATAAATTTGGATCGACAATAACTAATGAAGCGCCTATTTTTATACGTTTATACCGTATGTATATTCTTATAACCGATTGCTGTAATACATCATTAACTTGTGTGCTAGAGAAAAAGGGAAATTAATTAAAAAGGTCTACTTACTTGTGTGTCAAATGATTATACAAATCTAATTTATATAATTACAGCGCGAATTTCTTTCATTAGTTTGCCCATAATTATCTGCGATAGCAACTAGTGAAAAGTATAATATTTGTTGAAGGTTAATGTAAATATTTTTGATATAAAAAAGTTTAACTAATATATACGTTCTGTGTGCGAGTAAGTGGTTTAAGCTAGAAATATGTATAAATAACATTTCACTTTTTCTCGTATGATCATTTGGTAGAAATACAGAATCTTTACATCGAGTGTGCATTATACAATTTCCCGTAACAGAATATTAATGTCATGGATTTCGAAGTTGCTGTTGTTACTATTAATCCTTAGATTATGAAGTTAAAATTCTTATCTTCATTTTGCTTTTCAGCCCTCATGTATTAAACAATGGACCACATCATCTTTCTGTCAGTAATACATCTCCAACTCCATCTAACTCGCCTCATGATGTAAGGATTAAAAACGAACCTGTTTCACCTCCTCATGACATCACGTCTTCTTTAATACCAGATCAACGTTTGTCAGGTGATCAATTCAGCATTGCCTCTTGTTCACCAGCTTTTGGATGTGGACAGTTTGAAATGATATCAATTAAAAGACCTCGTCTCTCTCTTGATGTGTGGGCTATGTAGTTCCAAGTGTCAAGGGATCAGTTCTATATTACTACTTCTTCAACAGAAAAACTGTGATCCTTTAGTCATGCCATAACGAAATAAATATGTTTAATTTAAGGAATGTTCTCGGTCAACAAGTGGCATGCTAAAAAGTTTTATTTTTCCAACTTTTGATTAACTGTTTCTCGTGACGTATATCACAGAAAAGAAATGAAAACTGAACTGTGTATTGAACGGTTTGAGTATAAGTTGGTCATAACTGTGAGGAGAAACGATAACTTAAAGTTACTCATTTATTGAGACGTGTTTTTCAGATGGCTCTGCGTGAGTCAATCGTCCTTTTTGATATCACTATCTCCATAAAATTACTTAACATATCAAACAATGAAACTGAAGATTAAGACGTTTGATAACTTCGATGAAGATCTATATACCTTTTTGAATCGCCAACATTTGCACTAAAAATCCTTATATTATTTTCTTTTTATATTCTAATTCAATCAATGAATCATGTGGAACGCTTAGTGAGAATAATAAAAACTCAAAATGAATGTCTATAAAATAAGACGTTTCAGTCAGTAGCTGTTTATTTCATATTTTTCAAACGAGTTTAAACTTATAATCAGTAAGCACATGTGATTAACGTAAATACACTGTTTGGCTCAAAAACAGTTATAAAGCTCATTACAGTATTCTAGCTAAGCATTTCACGTGTAACGTGTAAATTTAATAGTAGCTAAACTGAATAATCTGTTTAACAAGAATGTGCATTATAATTTAAGAATATTCTAATACATGTGTTTTTTACTTCAGACTGGTAATTGTTCAGAGAGTTGTGAGCACACTTCACACATGCTGTTTTTACTGCAGTGCAATAACTGTTGAGTGTTACGAGCACATCTACACCTGTACATATTCATGCCGCACACGTGTGATAACCTCCCAGTGGTTTTACTAACCAATTTATTTACTGTTAAACATTCGTCAGTGAGATTCTGAATAATACTCACTGCTTAAAAATGTACGTACATAATTGTTATTCTTTCTTGTTTGCATAAATAAATCTTGCGATTTAGAGGAAAACAAAAGTTAATAAAAGCACCTTGTTTAAAAGTTCAATTTTATTCCTTCTGCTTTGCCCATGTTAAAATTGTAGTTGTTGTGCAACTTGAAAGTAATTTACTGTCAGTTCTTGCGCAATTTTATTTTTACGAAAACACACAAATATCGTTATCGTAATGTAAAAGATTTCTAGCAGGATGAGATCTGCTTTGCATTTTAAAATATAATACACAACATTCAAGTGTATTATTGCAAATTTTTAAAATTATAAGTTTTAAAACAATGTATTGAAGCTATTGTTCTGTTATTTACTATTGTTAAGGTCAAATCATAAATATTTCTTCCTCATAAATATAAACATGGCACGATATAAAGCTTTGTGGAAAAAAACTCGGGTATTATGTATGTTAGAGGGAACAGTTTCAAATAGTCTTTGAGTTTTCGTCACCGAATAATTCAAGTGCATTTAAATTTTTACTGTTAATTATTCAGAAAATACAAAATGACGGAATGTATTTTTGGTTCAACAGCTTAAATTAGATTATTAGTAATATCTTGTACAATTATTCCTTCAAATCGATATGAAATAAGTGATTGATTAGAAATGTCAAACCAAGAGATGATGCAGTATTTTTTAATATAGTCTGTATTTGGTTTGCAAAAATCAGAGCTGCAAATTTTCAGTATTTATTGTTCTCTTACATCTTTGTGCTTGGAATTATTTACAAGCAAAAGATAATACAAGTGACTACGTTGTTATTTAAAACCAATGTACATATTTCAAATATTATTTTCTTTCAATCGTTCTCATCTTTGTTTATTCTATGTTGGTTTTTGACGTGTTTTCTAATAAATATAATAAAACAGTATAACCTAATTTAGTGTTTTCTATTCATTCAATAGATATCGCTATACTTTTATTAATCACTTTGAAGCACAACTATCTAGCCGAAGATTAAAGATATAACTGCCATTCCAACTGTAAACATTTTACAGAAGAACACGCTTCTGAACCTTCTTTGTGATTCTTATAAGCTTGATTCCCTTACAATCACCTCCACTTGCACACATACACATTTTGCTTCTGACACCTAACTCCTTGTATCACTCTCGTTGAAATGTATTCCGGTGTAGATCAACCCCATCTAATCAAATATACTTCGTTATAGTCCACTCCCTAAGTTAGGTCAAGCTCTATCTGATGACTCTGTCATAAGGCTGTCATGTCTAAAGCACACACACACATCCTCCTTGCATATTTTCCATAAACCAGTTAGCATACAAGGAAGAAAGTTTTCCAGCGCTAATTTCAAAACTCCGTTCGCACAGAAATCCATAGCCGTTGCATACATTGACTTAACCAATATGTCTACATATGGAATATCACGAATACTCGTTTCATTCTCCAAATGCTTGATGTAAGTAACAGTTGTATGGACATGTCAATTTTTAGCTGGAGATCCTTCTTGATTATGTTGTGTATTGCTGTCTGGGACATGTGGATAGCTTTTACCACTGACATTTGTGTTCATGTATTCTCACTTCCTACAAGATACCGTACTTTGCTTATCACAACTAGGGTATGACGTGTTGCAGGTCTCTTTCTGAGTAGTCTTGGTGCCCCAGGTTTATCATATACATTTGTTTTCCAATGCCATTAAGCATAAGGATATGTCATTTCTGGGAATCCTAAATCCCCGATATGAACACACCTTTATGATTTGAGATTAAGAATATTTTACATCGGAAAGTATTGTTACATATCCTACCCAAAAGTGACCAATTTTCAAGGGCATTACACTGCCTACAAAATGACAAACAATGTCAAAAGTTAGTTCTGCTGTATACCATTCCACTGTGACTTTATATTCATCAACTAACGTAAACAACATGAAGATTCCATGGTTACATTACGTAGAGTATATATTATCTGTCTGACCAAACCACTGAAATGATTTTTTAATTTACTTCAAAAAAACTTAATCTTCTTAACAACACCATAAAGGTTACACTTGGGTGTTTTAAGGAGAAAGATAGCCAAAGAAACTGGAATCACAGCAGACCTGATCGATCACATACTTACCAAGTCCTCTGACACAGATTCAATAGACTATTGACCTTTGGTCTGTGTAAACATGGTCTTGGAAGCCAATGTTCATGTGAAGTGTATGGCCTATAGAAAGTTTGCCAAGATTTTTGCTTTAAGGTTGGCTTTACTATCCTTCATAGAAGCTTGTTACAATTGAAAATGTAGTTCGGACAATAGTCTATAACCATTGCCATTAGAATTAGCAATACTGACGATTGAGATAGTAGATCCAAGTGGTAAAAAAACAATAATAACGATTTTATAAAATGTGATTGATTATCAGTATTAGGTTTATACCCAATGAAATAAACCCTAGTTAATAAAATAACTCGACCGTGTTGATGAGAATAGTTAAAATTTGATGGTATGTTTAACCAATGATATATGATCCAACAACCTGCGAATTGAGGCAGGTGTAATTACTTTAGTTTTAATATCAGTGAATTATGTGAAACATTACTTCAGAAATTATTATGAACCTTTGAAGATAAACTCATTGATTACATAATAGCAAAAATAATAATTATAACATTTTTTTCTCAGAACAAACTGGTCAAGTGTGAAAAATACATCTAACAAGCATTTCATGCAAGCCAAAAGAATGAAAATATTTATTAACTGAACTTTATTACAATATCTTTTTGAGTAGTTTGGACATTTTTTCTGAAATCTATCAATGAAATAAACAATGAAAATCGATAAATGTTTCGTTTGTATATCTTGTAACAAATACTAACTAACTGTAGTATTTCCGGCAGAACCGCCAAGAGCTTTCATGGGCCTCACACTCACAATTAATCCTCCCATTTTCATCAGTGCTTTCTTCGAGGCAGTGGGCCCCGTTATATATACTCACTCAAAAAAATTGTTAAGGCTTTGCCCCCATTCATGGTAGCCCACCAGCTCAGCTTCTAACATCACCTTCATCATTTTATTAGCACTATGGATGTCCTGAGATCTGAATGGGTTCTTTCTAGGTGTTGTTCAGTGTGATGAGTCTGTCTTGCAGGCACTGAACCTCCCTTTCCGATGTCAAAGGAGGTGTGACTGTTCACTGCAATCAATTTTTCTCCTGACAATGGTGCTTCAATGCTAGGATTTGCTCTAATGTAAGGTAGTACTTGATAACCTTCATTGTTAGGGTGGTCCACTCTTGATTACTTCTGGAGCACCTTGCCTTGATCTTCTGTGGGCTAAGATGCTTCTTAGAGTGCACTGTATGAGGAACTCAACTTCTTACCCTTGTAGCTATATAACAGGCCTCACCCGACCCTGAGAGAGTTGGACTGACCACTGTGTTACCCACACCATGAGCAAAGTCCAACTAGGGCTTTATTAACTTTCTGAGGCACTAACAACAGCATCTAACACTCTTTATTTGTCATCTCTAACTTGCTGATGTAAAAAATGGTACTGATACTCTTGTGTACTCTGACACTTGGGAAAGTACTGATATCGCATGTTTGCAGGAGTATGCCGAGTGCTCAGCTGGTTCTGATCACTACCAATATTTCACAAGCCCACAAGCAAAACAAACACTTCACTCTTCTCACCTTAGACAATATACAGGTGGAGGCATCAGCTATCACTTTGGAAGGTGTTCTGTGGAGAAATTTTGCAGCAACATGAGCCACATGGGAAAACCTGCATGGACATACCCACTCATTGGCAGCCATTGTGGTTACCTCACAATCTCTTATTGTGGAGACAGCTGGTTAACACTTTGCTGGTGGGCTTAGATTGCTCAGGCAGAGGCATCTGCATCATGCTTTCTGTCAGTGGAGTCATTACTGCAGCCATCACTGCATGCAAGCTCTCTCCTCTCTGATGACCTGTTTCCTATTATGGCTTCAAAATGTGTTACAGTGGCCATGGTATCGGTAAGCATGAGAATGTCTCTCATCCCTGTGCCTCAAGTTCGTTGGACAGATTCTTAATGAATTTATGTATGAGGAAGTCCTCTTGATCTGCAGAGGCAATTGCCATGTAAATGGCACAGATCATCCACATAAATGACCAGTCCCTCATGCCAACCTTTTCCTGGTCTTAAATTTGGTATGATGAATTACCTGATTCTTGTCAGGGCCAAGTCAGTGGCAGAGCTAGTCAATGACAGTTTTCCAGTTATTCAATTGTTCTTTGTACAGATGGTCAACAAAATTAGTTAGCCTATATTTAAGTTTCTCATTCTATCAAACACTTTAATATTAAATATAGCCTTTGAGCCTAATAGACTTATATTATGTTATGATTACACCCTTCTCCACAGTGTGTGTAATTTTCATTCAAGCAACTTCAGACTTGTCTCCTGTAGTGTTCGGGTAGTTAAACCGATTAAGTTTTTAAATGTGACTTAGTAACTGCTAGTAATTTATATGGTGCTCATAAGCATGA